AGTTTCAACTAGTGGGACATTGTGCCTAATGCCCTGAGCTGTTTATAGAGATGTCTGTCTGGCAGGACTCAGGTGCTATACAAGGCAACAGTGACAAAAACCTGAAACATTCATCATTTCCTCCTGCTCCAGGCTCAAGGCCCCTCGTGTTCCAGATGCCACATTGTTCTCGAATGTGATAGGTGATGCTTTTGCAGTGGCTATTGTGGGCTATGCCATCAACATTTCCCTGGGAAAAACATTTGCCCTCAAACATGGCTACAAGGTGGACAGCAACCAGGTGCAGAATACACACTCACACACACACACACACACACACAAGCCTGTTATTTCTGACATATTTCTAACATATTTATTTCAGGTGCTCAGTTAAATGAATACATTCAATCAAGGTATTTTATTGGCATGAATTACCAAAGCAATACATTCTGCTGTCTCAGAGTCACATTTTCCAATTGTTAGTCTATAAGATATAGAGTCTGTCATTATTATGATGATGATAATGACGGATATGATGATGATGTTTATGATATTATTATCATTATATTTTCCATTTGATAAATTATTTTGTTAATATTTGTGCAGTTTAGAAGAACTGTTTTCTCTTGTTTCTGTATGGTCCCCATCTGCAACATCAGTGTCTGAATTACATCCACATCAACAGTAATGACAGAGTGAAATTGGATCGCCTAAACCTCTTAAGGAGTTTGCCAAAGATCCATTTAAGCCAGTAATTGTCCATTTACAAATGCCATAATGCCAAACAGCTCCTAGTGTATAACATCATGCTTCAAAGCCATCCAGGATTAGTTCCAGTGACTTTATTGTGCATTATATCTGCATAAGATAGCAAGATAGCAATCAAGTTTTGCTTTTGGTTACATGTTGTGCATCTGGCAAAAGTTAATGAGATGTGGTTGCATGAATAAAATGTAGATGCATGTTACATTAAACAAGTACTGTATGTATAAAGGGGTCACAGATACTACAGAAGAGTTTGTATCACTATGAAGATGCTCTCTTATTCATTCTCTTTATGCCAACCACGGCCTGAGATTAAACTGCACTGGCTTCCCTTTGCAAGTACATTAGGTCATGTCACCACTTTGTTGGAAAAATGATTAATGTTCCCCAGGAGATGGATACACATGAAGGTACAACATCTAACTACCTGTGCTTTCTCCACACAAGCATGTGTAGAAATACAGAATATATATATAATCTCTTCTTGTCTATAGCATACAGACACACACACACACACAGACACTTGCAGAGGCATGTGACTGGGATCATTCTGCTCTGGAGAGAGTAGGCTGGGAGCACATGCAGCCTCTAAGAGCTGGTCTGCTAAATTATTAATGCCCAACTAGCTTTATGCAATCAATTGTGTCTTAAATATGCTTTGGACTGCTCACATGGTAGTGATGTGTTGACATGGCCATAAAGGTAATGAGTCAATACTTTGTGTTACTGACCCAAAGGTTACAGACAGCAGACATGTGCGTGTCTGAAGGCCATGATATTAATAGCATCAAATATCAGTATCAGTATGAAAGGTGAAATCTGTTTCTCAGCCTAAATGTGCATGTTTTTACTTTAATTTAAAATGTTTGCTGTTTCTCTTTATCCAGGAGCTGGTTGCTTTGGGTCTTAGCAACACTGTTGGTGGTTTTTTTCAGTGCTACGCCGTGACTTCCTCCTTGTCTCGCAGCCTTGTTCAGGAGAGCACAGGGGGCAAGACACAAGTAAACACACACATAGACATACTTATGTGCACACACAGCACAAATACTGTGGACTACATATAATGAGATGACCTGAGACCATTTATTGAACAATAAGTGTGTGTGTGTGTGTGTGTGTGTGTGTGTGTATCGCCAGGTTGCGGGAGTGATTTCTTCCCTCATCGTGCTGATCACAATTTTGAAATTAGGTTCTCTCTTTGAAGATCTTCCTAAGGTAACACTCTCCCTTCATTACCATTTCTTTCTAATGACCAGTATCTCTCTTGGCAGTGAATCTATTAACCAATAAGGCTGTGGGTAAATGTGAATACATCTGTCTGTGTGTTCTTCAGGCTGTCTTATCCACAATAGTGTTTGTGAATTTGAAAGGAATGTTCAAGCAGTTCCTGGACGTGCCCATGCTGTGGAAGACCAATAAGGTTGATCTGGTACGACTAAATCCTCTTTAAGAGTCATTCTGCCCAGTTAATTACTGTGTGAACCGTATAACACATTGACCCCACTGACTGTAAGTGTTCATGCTGCCCTCTAGCTGGTGTGGCTGGTAACATTCACAAGCACCATCCTCCTCAACCTGGACTTGGGTCTGGCTGTCTCTGTTGGCTTTTCCATGCTCACTGTCATCTTCAGAACGCAACTGTAACTACACACCACCCATTATTAACTATTGATGTAAACACTGTGAGGGGTTTTGAGTTGTAGAGAACTGCAGGGCAATTATTTTTGTAATAATGACATTTTAATACCTTTCAGACCCCGCTACTCTATCTTGGGCCACGTGCCAGGCACTGGCTTGTATCTGGATACAGACACCTACAAGGAGGTAAGAGTCTTTTAGAGATGAATGACTGATACCATTTTAATCTACAGAAAGTAAGTTCACCCAAATTATAAAAAGAAACAAACATATTTTTTAAGATATCAGTGGTTGAGATTACTACCACCAGCCTGTAAAATCGTTGTGAATGTCTCTCCAGAAAAAAATGGACCAGTTCAATAATCACAGAGTTCAGGGTCAACACTTTTCATCTGACTACTTCAAAAGTATCTAAACAGTTATTGGATGGATTGCAATGACATCTTGGTGCAGATATGGTTCCCAAAGGATGAAATCTAAGGACTTTGGTGATTCTTCGGTCATACTTATCAACCTTAGCTGTACTTTGTAATTAGTGCTAATTGGCAAATGCCAAAACACATGCTAACACAACTAAGATGGTGAACACTGTACCTGCTTAACATCAGCAACATTGTCATTGTGAGCATGTTAGCATGCTGTTGTTAGCATTTAGCTCAAAGCACAGCTGTGCCTGGGTACAGTCTAACAGAGCTGCTAGTTATGCTGCAGACTCACAGTCTTGTTTAAATGTAGTTTAAAGGTCCAGTGTGTAACATTTAGGCAGAAATGGAATACAATATTCATAGGTGTCTTTTCATTAGTGTATAATCACCTTAAAATAATAATCTTTGTGTTTTCGTTACCTTAGAATGAGCTACAGACACCACGTTGCCTTTCATTAAGGCTGCCATGTTGAACCACTATGTTTTCTAGCCCAGAACAGACAAACCAAACACTGGCTCAAGACAGGGCAGTTTGGGTTTTTTGTGCATTGCGCGACCACCATAGTTTCTCTCTTGTGTTTGGAAAGGTTGAGGGTGAAACAAGTGAGCTGCAATCTGCAATTACACCGCTAGATGTCTACACACTGGACCTTTAAAATACAGTAATTCACATTCATTGTACTAGGTTGGCGACATAAATCTAAGCGACAGATATCTTAAAAGAATGGGCAAACAAAAGCAAAACTATCAGCATTAATAGATACAACTAAAGGTAAATGAGAAAATGTGTTTTTTCCCCAAAAAATGTGTATGCACCTGCACTGACCCTTTACAGGAACACTTTGTGGATAGAGTTAGTTCAACTTTCAGTCATTAAGTGGTAGAAGAACAACAAACAATACCAGGGGGAGGTAGAAAGTGCAAATGAGAGCAGAACAGGGTGTGAGTTTCTAAACTCTTCTACTTTCATGATGTGTCCCTTTAGGCTAAAGAGATTCCAGGAATTAAAATCTTCCGTTCATCTACAACCATCTACTACGCAAATGCTGAGATGTACTTGGAGGCCCTGCAAGAGAAGGTGTGTGTATGTTTATCCATGAATGTGGATGTGTGTTTGATTACAAGATGTAATCCCTGCCCGCTGTCTGCAGCATCCTTAATTACTTTCATTATCGCTCTTACTCGTCTCACTTTCTCTTTTCTCTCTTTAACGCGATGCTTGGCTTTTTGTGCAGAGTGGAATTGAAATCGGGAAGCTGCTGACGGCGAAAAAGAAACAAGACGCAAAGCTGAAGCGTATACAAGAGAAAGAGAAAAAGAAAGCTAAAAAGGAGGCAAAGAAAGAAGTATGATATCCTAAAAGACACATTAACTCACGTTACATAAATTATGGATTTTAAGTCACTAAAAGTTAATTTCACTTGTCCAATGGCACATTCTCTTTGAAGGAGCCAGACGTGAATGATGGGAAAGTCTCTGCAGAACTGAGAGGACCAAGTCAGGGAAATGGTGTGTCCCTAAGACTGACAGAAACCTCTACAAATGACCCTAATAAAGGCCAAGTAAACCGGGCTTACCAACATGACACAACCATGACAGACTCCGATTCAGACGCGGATTGCCACATGTCATCACATCCCAGTGATAAAGGCAAGGGAAGGGCCTGTGGATCAGGCACGCACAACATCATCTTGGACATTTCGGCAACCAGCTTTGTGGACACAGTCACTGTGAAGACCTTGGAAAATGTATGTGTGTGCCAGGGTCTGTGTGTTGACGTTATTAATTTAATCATCAGCATTAAAAAGAGGACATACATGTTCATCTATATTTTTAAATTAAAGAATAAATGACAACAACAAATCAAAAAGTCATATCTGTCTTTTTCTCGCAGATATTCAGGGACTTTGGGGAGATTGATTTGGACATCTATCTAGCAGGCTGCCAAGGTGAGTGGCACACCAGACAAAACAGAGACAAAGTTAATGTCCTTAATGCAGACTCAAGGCAGAGGCTTTCGATAATGAATGTGTCAAGGTCTCAGCCTCAGTGGCGCCACATTGTTCCCCATCAGTCACATAAGTCAAACATAAATATTTATTTCTATAATCACAAAATGCTTTCTGTCCCTGGCATTCATAAGGCCGCTCATTGTCATGCATGCTCCTCTGTGTGCGTGTGTGTGGTCAAATGTTAGCATGTGTCGTGGAGCAGCTGGAAACTGCAGGTTTCTTCTCAGAGTCCATCCCAAAGAGCAGGCTGTTTGTCACAGTACATGATGCAGTGCTTCATATTCTCCACAAACTGGGGCAGACAGACTTCGTACATGTGAGTCCATCACTATGAATATTAATCACACTTCTAAGCTCTCTCAGCTTCACTTATCACTTGTCATTGCTGTAATATATTCTCAAACGTTCCTACTCTCAGCCCTTAATCGTCCTCTTTTTTTTTTTTCCAGGATGTGTCGTGCACCACTCAAATGTGACCAGCAGGGGTCAGACTGTTCCAACTCTCACCATTCTCCTCCTCTTCCTCCTCCTCCTCCTCCTTTTGGCTGTTCCATTGCTCACCATTGGTCGCCATTGTCTCCTCCCCCTTCAATGGGGGAGAATGCACCACCTTGACATGGCCGCTGGTTGCCATGGAAATACAGGGAGCCGTTGCTGTGGCAACAGGCTTTTTATGATATCGTCTAATGAGATAGCCAGCAATACGTCATTGCAGCTCTCTCCCTCTGTGGTGTGTGTGAAAGACGGAGAAGGGGCGGGGGTTGAGTGGGAGAATGTAACACTGGACTAATAGGAGTCTGTATTTATAGCCTGTGTGAGAGAGTGGAGAGTGAGTGAAAGGTTGACTGTAAGGGGAAACTCATATGTGAGAGGTGTTGCTATAAACAGGCAGGCCATGATGTGCATCCATATTTTTGTTTGTCAATCTAAGTATATTCTTGAACCAATGCAACTGGCCCTCCTGTTCTTTTAGAATGGGAAATACAGAAGTCTTCCATAACTAATCAATAAAATGTAAATATTTGTCATTTATATGGCCGGGCCATTCCCTCTGGCAGGAGTTCTCAACCCTTACATTGCCGCTAATTTGCTCCGAAAGCCTGCAAGAATGAGCCAAATTCCAAATGTTCTGTAATAGGTGTTACGTTTGGAAAGAGCAGAAGCTTTTGAACACAACGTGGGTGTATTTATAGTCAGTATTCACACATCTGACTCCTCTGACATCTCGAGCTCCCTCCTATTTCTGGGATCTAGTGTCATGTTATCATCTGCTATCATAACTGTCAGATACTTAACACTGTATTTTAATATTTGCTGTGTGTCCCTTGTATCAAATTGATTTAGATCACCCACCCAAAGAGATTTGCTCCCAGCCATAAAAATTTTGTTTTTTTTAAATCATATTTTATTTTGGAGAATATATTTGAAACCACAAAATGTTTAAAAAGTCTTCAGGAAAGGTCCATTATGTGCAATTATATAAATTGAAAAAAATAGCTTTCCTAATTAGATTAACTTATGGATGTTTTTCCTGCAGATGACACTGATATGTGTGCCAGGGATCCTGAAATGATTGGTTCATTAACCACTCAATGTAAACAATGTGTTGTAAATTACACAACACACGTATTTCCTTGGGAGTGCTTATCGCTCACCCTTACTGATTACACTTCTAGTTGTCTGTGAAATGTATGCAGTGAGTTTTTATTTTTTTTTATACAGATGTAAACGTAGGAAATGTAATATTTTTATGTGATTGGATCGGAATACTTTTTTCTACGCATCAATTGTATGTTTTATGAATAAAGTATGAATGAAACCTTGTAAATAAAGACTCATAAAAACACAACGCATCCTTCATTATCTGATCATTTATTGCTTCTTTCCTGACATGGCATCAAGTCTCTTTCCCCTCCCCACAACCCAGTCTCCTGCTCTTTGCACAACTCAGTCTAAAGTTTCTCTCCTTCTCTTAAGGTGGAAATTGTTAACACTGATTCACAGACCCTACAATACACTGGATACTTAAGTTAGTTTATAACACACAGCTGGAAGTGGCGATGCATTGTCTCTTTTTGATTCTTTTTTTTTTTTTTACAAATGGAAGGTATTTTTGTACAGTTAATTAAGAGAATACAGAAAACAATGGCCAAAGGCAATGTCACATGTAAATGAAGACACCATTGCCACGGTCAAATACACGCTGCTTCTCACACACACACACACACACACACAGATACAGATACAGAGGTGCATCTACACACACATACACGCTCAGACCATGGCATATCAGCAGCAGATATGAGGTTTTTCATTTAGAAAGTTTCATCAGGATCTTTTACAATTCTGCTCATTTAGCACAAAATGGCATGACATGTCAGGACAGATGAGGCTGTTGAAACTAGGGATCGACCGATATGTTTTTTAAGGACCGATAAGAGATACTGATGAGCTGTTATTAAGGAAACAGGTAACAGATATTTGGAACCGATATGAATTTACAGTAAAAATGAGAATCGTATTGTGGAAATTTGAAATGGTTGAATGTAACTACGTCAGAAGTTTTCTTCAAGTAATGTATTTAAGTACAATTTTGAGGTACTTGTACTGTACTTGAGTATTTCCATTTTATACTAGTTTATATTTCCACTCCACTACATTTTAGAGGCACATATTGTACTTTTTACCCCACTACATTTACTTGATAACTTTAGTTACTTTAGATTCAGATCATTATACATATACGATGTATATCTGAAACATATTATTCTTAAATGGGCCCTTCCGCACTTTTACTTTTGGTTATTTAGATATATTTTGATGCTAATACTTGTTTACTTTAGTAATATTTTCAATAAAAGACTTTTACACTGTGGCATTACCTTATGCATATGTTTAATAAAATTCTGCAAAAGAGAACTTTTCAACATTAGCTTAAAAAAGTATTACTCTACTATTACATGACATGAAACCAATCATAAAGTGCTGTGGGGGATGGATTGATGACTTCAGACAAAGAGAGGTGGCTGCATCAGAGCCAAAGTACGGCATTTCAAACATATCTGCAATCTGATTTTAAAAAATAACGATACCGATAACCGGGAAATTCCTGAATGCCGGATCCGATTATTGGCCAGGCCGATAATTAGTCTATCCCTAGTTGAAACCCTGACAGACAGAGGAACAGAAAGGGAAGATATCACAACTGTACTGGACGCACTACACTCACAGAACGAGACTGGACGGGACAGCACAAAGGCGAGGAGCAGAGAAAGCGAGAGGGGAGAGTCAGCGAGGTAGAGTCAGAAAGCAGAGCAGAGGGTGTTATCAGCATGTGATGACTGTATGGGTGTGTTTCAGTTCTTCTTCCATCTAATCTTTGGTCCATTTGTCCGGGGCTTTTCCATAGCTTTAACTGGGGGGTGTAGCCAATCTGCACTTTGCTCTTACCATGCTTGTGTGGTGTGCATGTATTGTCTGTAGTTTGTTTATGTGTGTGCTGATGTCAAGGGTGACCTTGGCTCTGTGTTCTGTAGGGGCTCAGCTCGTCAGATGACACTTTCAAAGAGCAGTGTACTCTTGGTTCCTGCAGGGGGCAGCAGCTTGGCCTCGCTCTCTGGGGCCAGGTACTCCAGGTGATGTCTGCCCCAGACTGGGGTGGTTAGGTGCTGCCACCGCTACAAGGAGGAAGACACACAGAGACACACGTACAGAGATTATAAGCTGTTTATTGGACACGTGCTTCAGCCTTATCTAATGAGCCGTCTCTTATGAGTGATGAAGAAATCGGCAAACTAAATAACGGACAGGAATGTGAGGGAAGTATCCAAGGAGACACATTTCTAGCGATCATAAACAGAAACAAACGCACAAGAATGTGGCATACTGACCTCCCGCAAAGATCCTTTGCAGCGCAGTAGTTTGTAGAGAACGGTAACAGGGATACAGAGCATGGAGGACAGGGCCAATGCCCAGCCAAGTGCTTCACCCCACAAGGGATAAGTGTACACTGTGTTGTAGGTCAGGGGCTTGTAGTTCACCACGTGGAACATGAACACTGCCTATATGCACAGAAAAAATGTCAGCTGTTTGCAACTGGCAGGTTAAACGTACATACAAAACATACAGAGCAGCACTTACCACACAAACAAAAGGTGTGATGTAAGACCAGCACCACTTCATGTAGGGTAGAGGCTGATAGCCAATCATACGAGCCACGTCGTCCATGAAACGGTCTGCGCCTGACAGAAATGACACAAGGAGGTGGTGATAATGCACTGAACTGTGCCATTTGTGTTGTGTGTATTGTAATTGAGCGGTATTGTCTCACCATAGACCCAAGCAATCACCACGCACTCCCAAAAGGCCTGCCACAACAGAGTGATTCCACTGGCAGAGTAGTAGTCAAAAAGCTGGAAGACGTACATCCCTCCCTGACATAAACAGAGAGACGAGTCAGCATCAAGACCACCCTGTTAATACTTTATGTGTGACCTATTTCCAACCATGTCTCAACAGTTTACATTTTTACCACAGTTCTTTACTGGCAATGCTCTCCTTTGCCCAGTAAAGCATTAGGTGCACAACTCATGTATTTTAAAGAAAAATTTAAATAACCGTCTGTTAGCAAAACAATCTGAAGCTCAGGTAAGAGACTCTGGTCTTTGATCTTGTTTATGAATATCATTATAGATGTTTGTTGTTAGTCTTCAAGGTTCAAAATGACTGTTTATCCCACATAATTGTTAAGAACACAAAGCTGTAGGAAATCCTCACGGTACCTCAGTGACCATGGACATGTCGATGAGGAAGCAGATGAAGCAGCAGATGGCTGCTACCACCTCTCGTCGCAGGGAGCCCAGGGCAGATTTAGGGGGCAGCATGTCCATGATTCCTGTTATCAAACCCTCTACCCCAACAAACTGAAAAAGAGAGTAAAGAGTGAGAGAGCAAGAAACGGAGGCACACAAAGGTGAAGGAGTGGAGTTGTGAGATGTGCTTCTGACTCTGTGAATGCGTGTGGGTGTTGTGCACAGGCATTTGCATTGTTATCTACAAATTTAATATGTACACAAAACCTTAATGTGTTCAACCCTGGAAAAACAAGTAAACAAGTAAAATGATTTAGAATTTAGCTTTTTTGTTTCAGGGTCGGGTGCTGGCCTGACTCCACTACTACTTTAAACCTACACTCTCGATACACTGCAGATGTGCCTGACATGTCACTAAGATTTTGCAGGTGAACATGTCAGCTTAGACCCTGATACCCTCCTCAGTCACTCTATGCGAGAATGTTTACGTGTTGCAGAAACATATTTCAACCTCCAGAATGAGTAGAAAGGATAACAGCTGTGCAGCTATTTTTACATCATTTACCAGAAATGGAAGCACATGCATGGCCAATGTGGCTACGGCAGGAAAAAGAGAGAAAGAGAGATGGGTGGAGAAAAATGAGGGAGAGAATGGAAAGTGAGAGTAAATGAATGGATTGGAGAGTAGACAGACGCTCTCTGTGTGAATCAGACAGAAGCTCATTGACAAATCCCTGGGCTGTAAAACAATGGATGTAGGCACAGGCTCAAACAGACACACAACAAACAGTCTGCTAAGAAATGCAATGCTGAAACTGGACGTGATGTTTCTTGACTATTCGTGTCGCAGAGGAAGTGAGAGAGATAGAGCAAAAGAAATGTAGATTAGCTATCTATTCTACATAAAGTGCTACAAACTCAAGACAACAAAATACAGAAGGAGCACGTAATACCTTACATTTAAGTTCCTCTAAGCTAAATGCTCTCTCCAATGCAAAAGTGTATATAAACTAATAAACTCAAATGTGTCCGTATTCAGTATTACCTGGCTGTCCAGGCCCAGTATGAGCAGCATAAAGAAGAAAAGTGCAGCCCAGAGCGGCGCCAGAGGCATCAGAGTCACAGCCTTAGGGTAGGCTATAAAGGCCAGGCCTGGACCTGCACATTAAGAAACAGTTAGAAGCAGAGCATCAAGGGAATACAGCTCTTACTGTCAATACTCAGCTCACAGCAATTGGTTTCAGGCAGCCAATTCGTAGGGAAACTGTATTCTTACCACTCTCAGCTACCTTACTGATGTCCACGCCTTGCTCTGCAGCCATGAAGCCCAGTACAGAGAACACCACGAAGCCTGCAAAGAAACTGGTTCCGCTGTTAATGATAGCCAGCAAGAATGCATCCCTACAGAGAAACACAGAGAAAGAAAAGGGAATAGAGACACCAGGGAGAATAACATTGTAAGAAAAAGATGCACTATAATATGCTGTAACATGAGGCTCATGTAAGATACTCAAGACAAACATTGGCAACAGAAGAGGGAGATTGTGATGGTGAGTAGGGGATCAATAGCAATTTCTCTGAAAGCTGCTGTTGTCTTTTTAGTTGGCAGGTAGAGAGCAGAGAGCAAATAAGCCAATGGGAAGTCTCTCTTAAGGTCTGATAGGGCAAAGAGTGAAAGGAAAACCCTTCTTCACTACTAATATATGTAAGATTATAACAATGCATGCATTCATAAATAATGCTTCAGATCTAATTTTCATATAAGTATGAAGTCAACAACATCCCTGTTATCTGGTCTACATAGTAAGGAATGACCTTCTGTTTATCCTAACAAGTCGAGTGTATGCGGCAACACCGGCCAAGAATCCTTTCTGATATGAAGAATGTATAAACAACAGTTGCACCATGATGATTGTTATAACACTGTTGCAGCTGTGTTCAGAAGCAACATCCAGTCAGTCTACCTTCAACAGGCTCTATCAATCTGAAACAGTACTTACAGAAATGCTTATGGATTTGTATAATCAAAACAAGTCAGATTGGGTGTTTGGGTTAAGAAAGCAGTCCATATCAAGGCCACAATTATTAAAGAAGACTAAAAGTCTATAGCCGCAATAGCAGCCAGCCCACTTCAACCTTACCACTAGTGGTGCAAAAATGATACATTTTGCATTAGAGTGATGGAGATGTTACATAAGTTATAAGTTCAATTCAATTCAATTTGTATAGCACCAATTCATAACAGAAGTTATCTCAGGACACTTTTCAAATTTATTTACAGAGACCCAACAGTTCCCACCATGAGCAAGCACTTGGCGATGGCGGCAAGGAAAAACTTCCTTTTAAGAGGCAGAAACCTGGGACAGAACCTTCGGCTCTAGGTGGGTGGTCGTCTGTCTCGACCAGTTGGGGTGAGAGAGAGACAGAGAGAGAGAGAGAGAGAGACAGATGGACAGACAAAGATGCACAGCAACAACAGTAGCAACTAATACACTAATAGTAGTGACTGATGATGATGAACATGAAGAAGATAATGACGAGCAACAACCACCCCCAAGCCACATGGGGGGGACAAATGAGCAATGATAATAGTAATAATAGTAACTGTAGTAATAATAATAATAATAATAATAACAATAATATCAGTAAAGTAGTGTAATAGTGTTTATCTACTACTTAGAACAGTTCAGACTTTAGGACATTCTTGAGCTCAGCTCACAGAGACCAATAATGTAATAAAAATACCCAGTGGTTCAAGATATTTCACTCTGGGCCAACAGATGGGCAGACTAACATTGTGATCCCTACAGCTAAACAGCTAACATGGCTACAGACATATGAAGTCAAGCTACTGTATGTGGTTTGGAAATAAGTGAACAAGACCCAAAAGTCCTGAGCCCTAAATGTAGTATACATTGGCATGTGCGAGCAGTTTATATACAGATCTCCCCCCAGTTATTCCAGCTATTCCTGGACTACTCTTAAGTGTGTGTGAGAAACAGAGCTGAGCTGACATACCTCAGAATCTGAACTCATCTTTCAACTTCCAATTAAGGTCATGGCAGAGAAAATGTCAGATGGCAAGATATTCACAAAGCTCCTCCTACTATAGGCATTCAAAGTTGTGAATATATATATCTCTAGAACTAACTACTTTGTTTAGGGTAAACACATGTAAGCACATCAACCAGCCTACAAAAACAGCAATAGTGAGGCCAGCTGTTGCTAGAAGCAGACAATGTAACTCGGGTCTGCACTCCAATCTTCAGGGACTGACTGACCTTTCATTGTTTGAGTTAATTTTTACAGCCTTTCGAAAAGCATCATGGAACAATTGCAAGAAAACCAAATAAAGCTTGTTGCATATTCAGGGATTGAGAACACTGCTACGATTCTTCCTGGCAACCTATTCACTTACATTTTTGAACATAAAGGGAAATGGCCTTCATCATAATTCCTGGCACACTCACACAGTGTATTTAAGTCTAATGGTTGTTCCGGTGGCCAGGGAACAGCACAGGCCTGTCAATACCACATTCATTCATTCAATGCAATTAAGAGTGTTTTCAAGGAGAAAAGCTACTAATCTATTGGTACTTCCTGCCATTGTTAGTGAAGACAGACTGAAAGAAAGCCTGTATATGTACAAACTCACTGGTAACAGTTGTTATGGAAGCGGTTGTAGCTGCCCAGCGCAGTAAGGGCACCCAGTCCGATGGCATAGGAGAAGAAAATCTGAGTGCCGGCATCAATCCACACCTATCACAAATGGAATAGTCTGAGTAATATTTCACAATCTGTTCACCTATGTTTCTTAGATGTCGACGCATCGGGTTTTCTACAGACAACTGTGCAGCTAATGCAAAGGTCATACCTGGGCTTCTCCAAGTTTGGACCAGTCTGGTTTCAGGTAGTAAACAATCCCATCTAAAGCTCCAGGTAGAGTGACTCCATGGGCCAAAAGAACGACCAGTACCAGGTAGGGGAACAGAGCTGTGAAGTACACGACCTAAAGAAAGATGGAAAAAAAGACTGTGAGTATACTTATAGATACTGTAGGACCAATTTATAAAGTATACTTTGGGGTGGGGAGGTGATGTTTGAGTGCTATGCATTAGAACTTTGCATTAAGTGAAAGTAGAAAACTCCACAGTACACCCTTAAAACATTTTAACTCCTTGCATTACATGTGAAGTAAGTACATAGAAAAATGTAGTTAAATGATGAATTTAACAAGGTAGCTGGAAAAGTTTAGTGCTTATCAACATGGTCCATAAGCTATGGTCAAATGTTTCAACGTAACTGCACCTAAGTATGTTTTTATCACTTTGATTAAGCAATTACCTGCTTTGCAAATACTCATGTCTTAAGTAGAAGCCCATTAGGTCCTTCCTGTAGTAGATGTGTAATGGGCCCTGTCATGTTACATTGAAGAAAAGGTAGCCTGTAAATGGAAAGCCAGACAATTTGTAAACCTCCTGCAATAGCAGGGGTTTTTGGCAGACCTTTTCAGAAGGTAGTCTTTGTCAAGTTATGCTGAGAAAGCAGCCCCCTGCTACCTAAAAGAAGCATCAAATCCCCGCTAAATCAGTATGGTAAGAGCAAAGTAGTGAGAAAGCACATATTTGCCTTGATCTAGGGTGAACATGGGCAGAAAAGCCTTTCCAGCTCTCAAACATCTACATGGTGGAAAGTTACTAATCGGCTTACAGCTGGTTGGCTGGCTCAATCTCCTTCATTATTTTTTCCCTTACTCTATGAGCTTTGGCTACTCTGGAGACACAAGTATGCAAACACAGACATCTCCATGTGCTACAAAATAAGGATGTATCCCTTATGCTAATGTATGAGAGCACATTTAAAATAATGAGGAGTGGGCCTCTTTTTTAAATTACTCAATGGAAGTCACTCGCTACACAATGTGTATGTATGTAGAGTACAACATAATAGGGATCTACGGATCAGTGCAAGATTATAGCCTTACTGAAACATTAAGCTGCACATATACAGAAATACGTGTGAGAAAACAGGGAAAAAGGCAACTACACAAATTAGCAAACATTCAAACAATAAACATGTGCGCTTATATTTGTATTCATATGTATTTCAGTCTAGACACTGATCCTCTCACTATACCAAAGCTGATTTGGGGTCAAAGGGCAAAACGCGGCAATAATTTAAGCCTTTGCATGAAGCCATGCAAATATTAGTCTGCACTCTGTAACCCTTAACCCTGAGTCAGGTAACGTTTCACATACAGTAAACGTATTAAGCCATAACTATTCATCTGCACTCCATGAACCAAAACAGTGACTTGTAACATTAAGAATCATAAATTGTGCAGCCAGAAAATACTTTACCTTGCCAGTAGATTTAACTCCTTTCCACATGCAGAAGTAAACAATGATCCAGGTGGCTATGAGACACAGCACCATCTCATAGCTGATGTCACCAGGCTCGTGCAGCCCACCAGACAGACGGAGCACTTTACGTCTAGGAGAAAGGAGACAAATGTGCGGCAATTAGACAAAAAAAAAAAGTTTAGACACGTATTCTTTATTTAAGACTGCTGTCACGCAGCTCAACTCTTTCATGACAATTCCCAGATAAGGCATGACATACTCCCAGAACTCGATGACCGGGGAGCGCATGCCCTCAGTCTCTGTGCAGCTGCTGTTGAGTAGAAGCTGGGCTGAAGACAGGTTCAACGGGGACGTGGAGGAGAGGAGGGTGGCAGCACTGCGGTTGTGGCAGGCGCGGCGGAAGTCCTGCGTACAGTTGGGGGTGTTCCAAGGGTTTCCACAGGTGGCCCAGGGCAGCGGGTTAGTGAAGGAGTGGAAGAGAAAGTAGAGGCCCCACACCAGAATCATGATGTAGTAGGTGTTACAGAAGAACACTATCACCATTGAGGCCAAGCCCAAACCTGATAGAGAAGGAGGGAGAAAGCCAAAGGAGGTCTGTTGGGATGTAATTTACAAATCAGAGATGATCATCAGCATTACGATACTTTAATTGAGAAATTTAAAAGTTTACCTTTGAAGAGAGGTGCGATGTTCCAGGCAGAGACCCCTCCCTTCTTCATGAACTGTCCCAGTGCAATTTCCAGGAAGAAAACTGGGATTCCCCCGATGAACACAATCAGCAAGTAGGGGATCAGGAAAACCCCTGCAACACACAAATTCATCACATGGTCACATTCACCACCTAGTATCTGAAACAACAGGCAAGTAGAGACATGGTCTCATACTGGGAAATAACGGTTGCAAACTGCCCGATCTACCGGTACAGCACGCCTGTTAGCTTATCAATTACTTTATCAATAACAACAGTGCCGTTTGTAGTATCTGTATAATTATCATTTCAAGTAGGTGTGGCAACAACAGCAATATTCTGAGGAATCATTCTACACTACACTGTGTGTTTTTTTAATACACATGTTCTGGCATGTTCTGGCTTGGCTCGATTGTTTTAACTTGGCGCATCAGCCAAGTGCAGCAGGGATTTTGCAACAGGGCTTGAAGGTGTGTCTTTATGGGCACAGAGAGCCACCACGATCCTAAATTCCAGGAATTGCACGTATTTCACACTCTATGCACGAGTGCTACTGCTTTCTATCTGAGTAGTGCATCCGTTACAGCGAGTAAATATCCTATGTCGTAATAACATCAGTCATGGGAATCGAGATCCAGTTAGGAACCAGTTCCAAATTAAACAG